CTCAATACAACTTTGTAATAAACAGAATTTCCACAGTTACTTTAAACTTAATCTTTATAACACACGCTATAAATCAGTGGTTCACATACGGTGCCTACTGTTCACTTGACTCAATTATCTATATCTTCAATCTATCTGCATATCTCGCTGGCTTTCTTTGCTAGGTTTATATACTAAAAAAGAGGACGTCTAGCAAATACTCGTGATTCGCGGGATTCCCCGATAATTCTAGAAACTCCAGCGCGCATGCTCCCAGAGTCACGCGACTTCCGCTGTCGTAACAGTATATTGATCGTGCAAGCAAGCAAGTAAATGGCATTAAAAAAAACAACTACGCAATACACCCAGTTATTTAATATTAAAAATTACACTGATACATATGCAATTACGACAATACAATTCCTTTAATGCAACTCCATACAAATACATTTGTTAAATTTAGTAACATATCTATTCTTGGGAAATATCTCCCAGTAATAAAAATAAACAACAAAGAAAACGTGACCAGAAAATTATTAAGTGCAAATATATTACACAATTCATTAATGTATATATATATATAAATATGATCCCAAAGTTATTAAATACCTAACAATAACTCCCAAAGCAATCAAGTAAAGTTAGAATGAAACTGAATCATCAAACGTTTAAGGAAAATAATGATAATATTTAAATAAAATCACTAGTATATTAAAAACTTCTGACAGAATAGAAATAATGACTAACATTATTACAAGCATTTATGAAACAAAACAACAACAAAAAATGTAGAATAAACAAACCAACCCTAGTGTGTGAAGAATTGTACGTTTGTTTTTCGTATGGAAGCACAACTCTGATATGAATCTAACTACATACAAATAAATTTGTTTTATTATTTTTGTTCTACGTAAAAATAAATTTATGACAATTTAACGGTAACTAAAATTTAGTAAAATACATGTATTTATTTATTTTTTATAATGGCCTTTCAGTTTAGAAAACAACAACAAAAAACACTGAATGATTATCAGGAGTAAAAGAGATATATCTGCTTTTCATTGTTTTTCACTACCTCCATTGAAATAGAACATTATTAAAAAACAAAATAAAGTTGGTGTATTTATATCATCAGAGCCGTTGCACCAAGAAAGTATGACATCACTTTCAACCATAATCACCACTCTGTCAATGCAAAATATTTCTCTTTGCATTTTATAGGTTGCAAGAGGACCAGGCAGGTTTTATGTATATCTTGCCTTCTATCATGATGGCATTGTGCCATCCTACATAGTGATCATCTTTGAATCTTGTGATTATTATAATTATAAATATATATCAACCAGACTGCCTGCACCGGGATAACTAACACTTATACCTAACTACATACATTCCATTTTAAAACTATAGAAATCGCTAAACTTTTATCAACACGCTTCTTTTAGAAAGTTCCCTAAACCACAAATATATTATATTTACGTAGATCACTTCTTATCGAAGCACTCAAGGTACTTCACCTTCAGCAAGGTGAAAACTATGATAATATTGTAATACTTCCAATAAAACTGTATAAAATATTTTCACAATGTATTGGAGCTCAAAATATATTGTTTCTTCTCGAGGATTAACTGCACTAGCTGTCCCTAATTTAAAAGTGACAGACTAGAGGGAAGAAAGCTAGTCAACCACTCACCAATACTTGGGCTGGTCTAATCAAGTAGTGGGTTTGACCATCACATTATAATGCTCCAGTGGCTGAAAGGGCAACGATGTTCAGTGACGGAATTCAAACCTGCAATCTACACACTGTGAGGTGTGCACCCTAAATTTATACGATGGAAAAAGTATAAATGCACAGGTATTAAATGGAAGTGATAAATAACCAAAGATGGAAGAAACAATAGATCTTTTGTGATATTTAGAAACTTCTAATAAGTATTTATTGCATTTGATACCTTAAGGAAGTGGTTTTCAAACAGTTTTGTCTGCGGACCACCTGAAATTTATATTTACCTCAGCAGACCAAAGTGGGTTCTATACACTATACTGATGTTGCTTTTCCATAATTATGCAACCTTTCCTCAGACCACTGCCATAAACAGTTAAACTTTTCAAACCTCGTTTTATACTACATATAATTACAACTAAATCAATAGCATTCCTTGTTTTACAAGTTACGCTTGAACCAACCTTATGATGATCAGTGGGAGGTACTACTAAATCTAGGATCTAATCTTAGATGGAAAAAAAAAAGACATGAGATTAATTATGCAAGTTTTTTTAAATATATAAACAACCGAACTATCATTCTTAAATATATCTAGAAAAATCTCTGAAGCAAAAATAAGGCTGTGCTAAGAAACCTACAAAAGTCAATTCAATCATTTAATAACATACATGTTGTAACATTCTAAAATTTAATGAAAAGTGAAACATTTTAACACTGTAAAGAATGATCCGTGCTCAAAGAATGTACAAAATCCTTTTATCATTATATTGTTGTAACCTATGAAGTCCATAAATTCCTACTATGTTGGTCATCTTTGTCGTGTTAAGTATATGTTATTGTATAAAGGTAACAATTCAAAACAATCAAATGTAAACAAAGACCTGAGGCATTACATATATAGTGCTTGTAACAGATACATAAAAGTGCAGTTAAGAGTGATTTACACACACACATATGCAGAGTAGAAGTGGGTAAGCAACAGTTGTTACAGTAACTGCTCCACATCCATAAAAGACTGCCAACACATATCTAAAAAAATTACTTAAATCCATACATATACTTACAACTGCTGTTTTTCAGTCTTGCAATTACAAATGAACTTTGTGAAAATGGTATTTAGTTGGACCATTGAAGTTATAAAAATAGTTTAAAACCAAAACCTAAATACACAAGCAATAGAACATACTAAGTTACCAACTAATGAATGAAGATAGACATACAAGTGGAAAATTTATCAGCCATAGCAATGTGATATTTACTGCTGCTGAAATATAATGAATTTTAGAACTCCTCTGATATATGAAAATATAGTAGCCTCAGTGGTGACTGAACCAAAAATCAACTGCTATTCAAATAACCTCACACTTTTAAAGAAGATATTTATACATCCCTTAAATAAAGCTGGTGGTAGTTATAATTAGCTTATTTATCTAATACATAATATACAAATATTGATTGCACATGTTTGACTGCAATTAAGAAAATTATTCAGGTATGATTTTCTCTTTGTGTTAACTTTAAGATGTTTAACACTCAATTTATATCTGGAATAAATACACAAAACTTCTCCGATGCTACAAGTCATAAATCCTGGTAAGCACAAGCCTCTCCCCCTTTTTTTCTATTTGAAACAAAACACCCATCACCTATGTTTATGTATGCATAAGAAATGCATTAACCTTTACATCATACATTACAATAAATCAAACTTATAATAAAAATAAAATGCATGAACCTCTTAGGTTTATCACAGTGACATCAGATGTATTATATATAATTTTGGGTGTGTTAGTTCATGAAAAATTATCACATACACAAACTAAACTAAACTTATAAACTATTTGAGTGAATGTTTCAAATCAATTGGATTCTTTGTTTTGCAAATAGATAAAACCTTAGAATAAAACATTTCTATAATTTGAAATTTTTCATTTTCATGAACAGTTACACCAAAAAATGGGTCTTTTAAAAAACTGAACACATTAGCACATTCAAAACTTATTTTGAACTTGTTTTGAAAATGAACACAAAGAGCAATTAAATTAATAAACAATTTTTTTTGTCATCTTTTACATACTAACATTATAAAATGAAAAACTTCAATAACAATTAGTAAAATAAATAGAAATAATTCTTCAAAGTAAATAAACCACCCAAACTGATTTGAAACCTTAATTTTGTTAATTATAAAATTTATCATCATTTTTTATTTCATATCAAATGATAATACTTTGTTTTAAAGGACATAAACCATATGATAGTTGTTCATGTATGATGCATATGAACAATATCAAATTAAATATTAAACTGGAGACTAAAATCCCTATATTTATTTTTGGGGGGGGAGCATAAATTCACTCTCTTAAATAACTTCCTTTCTAAATTTTCATGACATTATAGATATCATTCTATGTAAAATATCAGTAGAAATATTTTCTTTACTTCAAGTTACTTTCTTGCCACATCCCTTGAACCTCAAGTAGCAAACGAACTAGATTATCCAATCCAAACAAGTAACCTTTGTCTGGACCTCTATGAACATCAGTATCTCCTTCATAACCTTCATGTGTAGTGTGAGCAAAATCAATCATTCTTACATCCACAGAGGAGTAAAACCTCTCCATATCCTGTTGTTTTGTCATTGAATCCTCTTCAGCATATTTTTTTTTAATACAATTTCTTCTTACAATAAAAGACTCAGATTGACAAGGATTATTTTTGACAAGAGGCATTTCTAAACCATCCTCTAGCAAGTCTTCTGTTTCACCCTCGTCTTCTCCACAGCCTTCATAGATGATAAGCAAAGAACTTGAATAAAACCTAAATGAATGCTGCTTTTCAACAGCTCTCCGCAATTCTTGCAGCTTCTCAATCACTGTGTCTATTACACCTACACGCAACGTGAAACCATTATGGAAGAACTGAAATAATGTGTTTTGGAATCCACTTTCATCCAAGGAACGGCCATAGTATTTGTCCTTCCACAAAAAAGCTTGACAATCAGCTTGATAAACCTATTTTGGTAAACATTAAAATGCATTTTTAAAAACCATAATACTATTTTACTTTACTTACAAAATAACTACATACATTCAAAGAATTTCGTTCATTCAATAATTACACATGAAAACCTGATGCCAAAAAGAGTAATCTCTTTCAATCTTTACTTACAAAACGTGCTTTAGTATTGAGTGTTAAATAAGCTTTTACTTTACTTTGTTGCATTTAGCTCATTTTCAGAACACTATGTTAGACACATAACAAACTTTTTGAGTAGTTTTAGGCTAAACAATAACATATAATGAGGAATACAGATACTTGCTTAGATCATCAAACCTAACACCTAATTCCATCTTGTGTAAAGAAATTTGAAAATAATATTAATCAATACATGTACAATTTGGTAATATTTAGAAATCAGTTTATCACCCTTTATATCAAAATATAAAATAATCTAATTTCATTTCAATATCCATTAACACATGAAAATTTCTAAGATAAAAAATTTACAAGCAAGGTGAAATAACTTTGGTAAATTAACAATAAGGACTTTTTTTTAAACGAGTATTTAACAGACATATTCAAGCTTCTGAAACACAAATTATGCATGGAAATGTTTAAAATACTTCAAACACCTGATGAACATAAATTTGGGATGTGTAATTCATGACAAGGTTATGAGTTTTCTCAGTTTCAGCAACACTATATTATTGATACAGATATAAGTAAGTATGATCATGTACATTAACTATGAACTCCATGTTTAAACACTACATTCTTAAGGATTTTGAAGAATTAGAAGAGCGTATAATAATAGTATTTCAACCACATTATATCTGTCATATCCATTGTCAATGATGTATTTTGCTAAATCTTCAGACCAGCTAGGATACAAAAACTCAGTAATGGTCAAAAGTTAACATTTTCCTAAACTGAAAATGTATTTCTGATAGATATCTCTCTCACAAAACAGCTTTTCTCGATTAGTATTGCCCTCTATCTGAGCAAATTTTTAATAAATGCCACTAGCCTTCCACCTCCCTCTTGTGCATATCCACATGTAAATGATTAGATAGCAGCTCTCGACCAACAGGAGCGCAACACAACCTTTATCGTAACCAGTGCCATCTCCACATTTGCACTCGTTAATCACTTTGAGCCTGGTCAGAAGACCTACAAATATCACCAGAAGTGGGGAGGCTGGGAGGGAAATGTGAAAGGAGGTAAGTAGTGCTGCAAATTCTACCAAATTCAAGTTATAGGTCATATACTCACTGTGTATGTGTAGTCTCTAGATCAGAGTTGTACACTTTCATCTGCCAAGTTATATGCAACATAAAGGTTATGGTTTTTCATGGACTGGACAAGGACACTATAGCAGCTATGTACATTCTAGAATATGTTCCCAATAACACATCATGTTCAACACTTAAAAAACATACTTAACATGATCAGTGAACTGTTAGATGACACTGGCATGTGAAGTATCAACATGAAAAGTACTGTGTATTTCAGCTACTTTGTCTGTCACATAGTAGGTGCAGAACACATGAATAGGCATCTGTGCATTGTTCTCGCAAGTCTGTAAAGGTTGAGACAGTTAATAATAAAAAACTAAAACGACTGTCCATGTAAACCTTTGAAATACTTTAGTATATTGTTTACCTAACTTATATATCCTAACATTCAAGTATCAAGTCCAGATGCTAGCATCATAGCAGTAATCTTCAACAGACAATGGGTATTGATCTAATATAATAAAATTTTGCACGCATACTGTTCTTATTAAAATAATAGCACTTTATTTGAATACCTTAAGCATGGTTGACCAATACTTATTAATACTTGTCACATTAAATGTCCTCAATAAGCTTCTGAATATGTAGAGTTTTTAGGGATGCACCCTGTTTTAAAAATCTGATTTTATTGCACAACAATCAATGTTGTTTGCACGTTTTTTAATATTTTACAAAAAAACTAATGCAAAACAAGATGCCAAGAGTCCTGTTAACAACATTTTCTACATGTATCAAGAGTATGATTATCTGTTAATATTCTGTAGAAAATATTTTTTATTTTAATATTTAAATGATACACATACGGTGTTCTTATGAAAATTCTGAAAAATATTTGAATACAAATTTTAGCTAGAGAAGCATCTATGCTAATCTAGATAAAAACATATATTCTTGACTGGTGAGCAGAAAAAAAAAAGTGGTTTAAAACTTCAAGTACATTAAATATTAATAGTACATTAAATATAAATTCACCTGCATTCCACATACACGGACACCTAGTACTGAAGAAGTGCTTGATGCACATTTAGCTATTTGTCTGTGCCTCTTTTCTTCTGATGCATCATCACCATGTTGTCTTGTGCCCATCTTGAGGTCCAATATGCAAGGTCTGCGAAATCGGTATGTAACGTTTTCCAAAAGTAAAAAATCTAAAACAGGAATTAAGGCTAAACAAACTTTGACATTTTTTTTTTTGCATAAAGCACATATCATGCAATTTTTCATTTTTGTATTTTAAAGCATTTAAATCCTAATGAACTGATAACCACAGAAATAAGATTAAATTTATAAAGTAAAATTTACTTTTTTTCTTTCTCAAGAAGACATTAGTTTGAATTTAACCTAACACTGAATAGATTTTTAAGAGACCATTCATAAGTTGTGTTTGAAACACACATTACACAATTATATTTATATGAGAACATACATTTTAATTTTATTCAGTGACTGGTTACTTACAATATTAGTGTTAATCATTCCTCAAAACTACAATCCAATAAATACAAACTCACAACATGTTTTTTACATTTTTAGTTAATTTGGAGACATGATTTTGCCTTGCCACATGACTATTAATAATATATGTAAACAATAAAAAATACTATATACCTGCTACAACCAAATTAGATGACATTTTGTACCAATACATTTCTTTCTAGGTTTATACAGCTTGAAAATACAAGTAAGCTGAAGTAAACTGAAATTCTTAAAAACTTCATAAGGCAAGTTGACATCTTCCTGTGAATATGTATGAATTATATGCAAATGTTGTCAGTGAAATGTGCAAGTACAAGCCAAATAATGCTGTAGTCACAAATTGATTTAAATAAATTTTATTATAAATTTACCTATTAGTAGGTAAAATAACTGGTATTGAGTTAAGTAAAGTATCACTAAAAACAAAAAAGAACAACAATTTAGTAACTAGTGTTAAACATAAACTATGTAATGCTTCACCTAAAAACAGTGCAAGTGCAACAACAAATAAAGTGTGAACCTTATCCAATTTATTCTCTTTCTAAAATCTCTTGAAACAGAATAATGTTACACAAAATTTTAGGCATTGTGAACTAACCAGAAGTCTACTTCATGTTTTGTAAAAAATGTAATTTACTGAAATTAGGAGTTGATTTTAATACATATAAAACAGCTGTTGATTCCTTTCCAAAGAAGTGTAAAAGCTGTAGTTTTAGGCAATGAAGACAGCCAATAATAAATCAACTGACCAAATATTTAAAAAAAACAACATTACTCTCAAAAAGAGCCTGAAAGTGATCAAAATAAATACTTATAAATAAACTATTTTTAATATAAAATTTAATTAGTTTAACGCATAAATGCATTCAAGCCTTGACAAAAACTGTCTTTCCACTAAAAAAAGGGATACGTTTCTGATTTAATTTGTAACTATGTGCATTGTGATCACCCCAATAATGAGAGTAAGAACCTTGGAGTAACATTACTTCATCTTCACAATTGTAAACTTTTACCCTGGAAGTAAACAAATACAATCTTATTAACAATTTGTATAACATATATTTAATCATGTTCAAAACTAACACTGAAAATACTGTTAAAAACCTTTCATAAAAATGTAGATCAAATACATTATAACAAGTCAAACATCAACATGTACCATTCATTAATTTTAACTTTTATAACATATCATAAAGTTGTTGACTTCCTAGTTCTTGCAAAAATAAATCACTTTTTTATCAATACAATTGTCTGGGTAACTAAATATTAGGTCGTCAAGAAATTAATGTCGCATTTTTTAGATGAAAAAACCCAAACATGTTATATATATCAAAACAAAACATCTATTAAATGAAATAGTCTCCATTCTTATCGATGATGCTTTTCCATTTTACAGTCAGGT